CGAAGTCAAGACAAATGATTCTCCCCCTCCCGCCCGTCCGGCGGTGTCCCGCGGTGTCCCGCGGTGTCCCGTGGTGTCCCGTGGTGTCCCGTGGTGCCCTCTCTTGCGAGGGCGAAGTCAAGACAAATAATTATCCTCCTCCTCCCGGCCGTCCAGCAGTGGCTCGCGGTGTCCCGCGGTGTCCCGTGGTGTCCCGTGGTGTCCGCCGTTGCTAGGGCGAAGTCAAGACAAATGAGTATCCTCCGCCCGCCCGTCCGTCCGGCGGTGGCTCGCGGTGTACCGCGGTGTCCCGTGGTGTCCCGTGGTTTCCCGTTGAGTGAGATCGATACTGAGATCGATACTGAGATCGATACTGAGGTCGATGTGGTGCCCCGGAGGTATCCCGTGGTGTCCCAAAAAGTGAGATCGATAGTGAGATCGATAATGAGATCGACAGGAGTCCCGTGGTGTTCCGTGGTTTCCCGTTGAGTGAGATCGATAGTGAGATCGATACTTAGATCGATAGTGAGATCGATGTGGTGTCCCGAGGTGTCCCGTGGTGTCCTATGGTGTCCCCTTGAGTGATATCGAAAGTGAGATCGATAGTGAGACCGATCGTGAGATCGAAAGGGGTCCAGCAGTGTCCCGTGGTGTCCCGTGGTGGCCCGTGGTGTCCCGTGGTGTCCCGTTGAGTGAGATCGATAGTGAGATCGATACTGAGATCGACAGGTGTCCCGTGGTGTCCCGTGGTGTGCCCGTGGTGTCCCGTTGGGCGAGATCGATAGTGAGATCGATTGAGTCAGATGTTGGTTCCCCCCTCTCCCCCCCCACAACCTCCTTAGCACCCGAAGGTGGTCGTATAGGTACCCACAGCCCAAGCACGGTAGCGGTATGGGCCGGAGGCCATTCGATATGATACGGATGGATCGAAACAGCACAGGGAGGCGAGGTGCATCTCTACGACACTCCGATAATTAGGACGGCGTTCCTGTGCATCTGCCGCCACGCCCTGCGGCACGCTGAGCCGTGGAAACACGTCAAGTGTTGCTCGGTCGGGTTTCTGCTGCCCCAAAAATTTGGACGCCCGGAATTGGTACGGAAAAAGTGGGTACCATGCCCAACAACAAGTGTTGTCCCAAACCAACAGCGGCCGCTGTTGGGCAGGCAGCCTTCTGTCTCGAATGGGACACGGGCCGCGGCGGCGTGGACAGCGAGCCCTTCTCAAAAGGAACAGGATCCGCTGTCGGGCATTGCACCCCTTTTCCTTCCGTGCCCACCTCGTCCTGCTGCCCCCCCCAAAGGGGGGGCCCCCGCGGCCTCTCCACGAGGCACGACTCGGCATCCCCGCCCCTCGGCTCCGAGGCCACGGCCCCTCGCGAGAGCTCACGGGTCCGTGCCCCGAGGGCACAGGGGGATCCGGGGGCTCGCGCTCCCGAGGCCGCGGGGTGCCGAGACGGCCGGGAGCGGGCCACCCAGGTCGAGAGCAGCGCGGCAGGGCTGATTACACAGCACGTGTGACAGGTGCGATGAAGGGGCCAGAATGCGAACCCTGCCCCTGCCCCCACGATGCCTGAGGGGGAGGGTGGGGTTCACTTCGCTCGGGAGCTCCCCGGACGCAGTGAACCCTACCCTCCCACTCAGAAACCAAGGAGGGTAGGGGTAGGGTTCGCGTGTGGCCCCCCATGCGAGGCATCAGGGACGATGGAAGTAACATGGGATGGGAAGGGGATGCTGGGCGAGACGGAGGCGTACCCTCTCTCTTCATAGAAGCCGCAAAAGACTGCGGCGTCGCATCGGGCGCGCGCGCCTGATCCAAACGGAAGAGGGGGAGAGCGCTGCATGCCCCCCACCCCGCCCAGGACCTCCCCCCCAGTTCGGGACGTGGGGAGACAGCGCTGCGCCCCCCCCCGCCGGGCACGGTGCAGGCGCGCCCGCAGAGCAGAGGTGCGTCGAACGAAACGGCCCGAAGAGGCTCGCGCCCGCCATCCCTGGGAGGTTCAAGGGTTACCAGAGCCCGAAAAGCAGTGGGCTCAGACGGATCCACCCCCCGAAAGTCAGGCACAGTGGAAGACAGTGAACCTCGAGACGGAGCGCCAGGAACAGCCTCCAACAACGCCTCACAGCCTCCGTCGTCGAAGAGACAAGCGCAAGCTCGACTCCGAACGCTGGAGGCGCCTGCAGCAACAGGCGCTCGCGAACATACTGGCGACCTAGAAACGGCAGATCGCCCGCACGCAGCAAAATGTAAGACTTTCACTCAACATGTCACCATTGAGTCGTTCGGTTTCGCACCACGATGGCCTCAGAATGGGGCGGATGGTTCGACGTTGTGCTCAGGCGATTGGGCTCCAGACATCACTTCTAACATGCGGCCCCTACCGGTGCTCCATTATGCATGGCCACCTGCGGACATATCCCTGCTGTCACACCATTGTACAGCACGTGCACCACTTCTACCAATCCGCCGGCCCCCTTGTGGGGCCACCAGGCTGTAGGACCGTGATTCGCAGTTTCCTGTACCAGTCGTAGGTTGTAGTTTCCAGTGTTACAGTTCTGCTTCTTGCTGGTTACTGTAACTAGTTGACTTCTTGCTGGTTACTGTAACTAGTTGA